GAGGCGTGTGTCCTCCTGCACTGGGTTGTGTGTGGGCTGCTGGCCGGCTGCCCCCGAGTCCCGCTGTTCCTCGTTAGCCCTGATTACCCCACAGGTGCTAGCTGTAAAAACACACCTTGGGGGGTAGGCAACAAGCTCTGCTAACAATTTTGGAGGTTTTGGCGAAGGAGGGGTGCTGGGGAGGGGGGTGTCCCGGCATCCCCCCCCCACTGCTGCTCAGCGCTCCCCTCAGCAGCCTGCAGAAAATGGCGGTTGGGGCGGCCCCGCCCGGCCCCTTCGTGAGGTAAAATGGCGCCCGCCACAAAGCCACCTTGGGCACCTGCTTTCTCCTCCAAAACCTCCCGCCATGGCTTCTCCTTTTCAAATGCCATCCTTTCTAAGCTTTTGCCTGCATCCTTTTTTATTTATTTATTTATTTATTTATTTAAAATCACAATCTTATTTTAGCTCTGCAAAACACCTGCAGCACAAACTGTGCAAAAGCGGGTCCCTCATAAGCAGTTGCCTCAGCGTTTGGTCACACTTTCACCAGCTTTTATTCTCCTCAGCTGAATTATGTCCGGTTTTTTTGCTTTGTTTTGTTTTGATTTTTTTTTTTTTCATTTCAGTCCTAAAAATTCATTTAGTGCTAAAAAGAGGATGAACAAAAGAAGTACTGCTGGCTTTTCTTGTTTCATTTGAAGGCTATCCGCTCACAGAGCAACCCTAGGGGAAAGACACAGTCTCAAGCTGCAAATCACAGAGGAAAAAGCTGCCTGGCTCACATGTACTATGTTTTCTTTACAGTGTAGCAGAAAACGAGCCCTTTTCCTGATCTCAGATCCCAATCCAGGCAGAGCCCCACTGAGATTTTTGCAAGGATTTTTAGCACTTAATGCCCAGCAAGCTGCACAAAAGCCAGAGCTACAGCTGGAGAGGTTGTGTTACTGTATGCATATAAACAACAGCATCAGCTGCATGCGTATAAGTGCCTGACAAGCGCCCTCCGGACTACTTGGCACCCTGAATTCAGCCTGTTTCTGCGGTTTGTGTTGAAAAGGGACAGCGAAGTCCGTCCAAACCGGGCAGGAAAGGACCGTCTGCTAGACTGAGACCACCCTGGCCACATAAATACATTCAGTTGCACAACGCAAATGATATTTGTTCAGTAATGCATTGCTAGAGGAACCCTGTAATACACAAGAGGTGTGCGACACTTGGTTTTTCGTGCAGAGGCAAGAGCAAGTCCTGTAGGAACACAGCCAAACCATAACGCCGTGCCACGGTCAGCATACATCCCCTCTTGAAGGGATATAAAGGAAGAAATGGCTCTTTCATGAATCAAGCCCAGATGTAAACACTGGCTTGGTGGATGGCTGAATAAGGCACGGAGAAAGCTGAGGATCGGGTCTCCAGATATGCCCCTGGTTTGCGCAAACCCATTTAGAGCATGGGCTCTCCTATGAAAAGCTCGCTCTGTTTCCCATTTTCCAAATGACAAGTCACTGCTCGTGTTCGTATTCAGGATTTGTGTGGAGTGAGTATGAAATGCCATCCACTTTGGTTTGCTTGCTTCTCCTAATTACCAGTTTAAACGATCACGACAGCAGCTGAGTTGTAGAGATGATGGATCAGGACTGACACATAAACTGTTTTGGTGCTCTGTGTTTGACCGATTTTATAGGTAACCTTCATAAAAGATCTTGTGTATAAACTTACAACCAACAGACCCTAGCATGTAAACATTCTTTACTAGATTTAGTCTTCAGGAAAGCATCTGACGTGAATCCCTTGTGACCATCAATTGCCCAAGGGCTCTGATAAAAAAAGCAAATTTTAAGTCGGATGACTAGATTTTCATGGCACTTATATCACGTGGCCCGGCACGGCAGAGCAGACTGTGGGCGCAGCATGTTGCTAAAAGCACGTGAGGACTTACCGAGAGCTAGGCTTAAAAGACCTGCTTCAATATCCCATGCAATACACACCATCACGGTGCAAGTGCATGACTCCATCTTTTTCTGTTCCCCCGTGCTGGGTCTGGGCGCTATGGCAGCAGTGCGGTTTGATCGCTTTCAAAACCCGGGAGAAGCGCACCCCAGCTTTCTAGTGCCAAGGCTACAACCTGAGCAGGAGGCTTTGGAATGATGATTTATATCTGCCTTTTTCCTCCGAGGTCTCTCAGAAACTGGCTGGAAATTAAAGGTCATAATTTAAGGAATGCTGACTCAGGAACAAATGCTATGTTCCTAACTGTAATGTGCAAACGCAATGTAACATACCAGGCAATGAGGCACCTCGCTGATTCTGTACAAGTAATTTTGACTTTGAACTGGCAACGTATGTCAAAAGTGTACCTGCTTTGTCCTTACTAGGATTTTTCCCCCAGCTAGCGAAGTGAGAGCGTGCACTTCAGCCTGTGCTAGGCAGCGGCTGTGGGCAGCTGAGCAGACCAGGGAGCTGTCGCAGGATCCTTCCACAGTTGACGGACCGCTCCCGAGACCACTTCGGAGAAGGCGCTTCACTCAGGTACTCTGAGTCATATTTGTTTCAGTAAGTTTACAGGGACTAGACAACAAGTGTAACATTCTGTCCATGGTATTTCCTGTCCCATGAAATCATGTCATCACTCTGGGAAATGAGTTTCCATTATACTCTAGTTTTAAAAACAGAAGAGAAAAGCAAGGTTGGATAAGGAGCACTGAATAGGTTCCCCTCTTGGCCAAAGGCTCTGAGAAGTAAATCTGCTGGCTGGGCCAATGCTTAATTACTTTTAAATACATGTGAAGATGTGCTTCTACTACACTCAGCAAACCTTGCAGTTAGGAGAACAATTTTTGAACAATTATGTTGTGCAAAGGCAGTTTCCCTAATGATGAACTAACCAGCACTTATAACAGAAATATGGGCTTTAACTCATTTTCCACCTGACGATCTAAGCTGTTATAAAAATGTAAGTAATTATGACTTGCCTCATTAGGTGATGTGTGTGTGTACAGTGGGAGCACACATAGGACTTTCATGATCAACCCCCAAACTTGTTGGAGCGCAGTCATGCCAAACATCTAAATTTCCTGTAAACCACCATGAACCCTTAACCTCAAATTTTTTTAGCTGGAAAACAGACAAAAGAAACTATTTTATGCACTATTTAGTAAAGCCTCATATACCACCACCACAAGGCTGGCCAACTGCCCGCCACTTGGAAACACTTGACTTGCGGCGTAACGCCAGCACGCAGAGTGACGATTGCTGTCAATCGTGCAATCCCGCGTGGGTGAAGGCGGCTGGACCACGCAGCGTGCGCAGCTCAAGGTGCTCCCCCTGAGGTCAGTGCTGGTTCCCGGAGGAAACATGCGGACTCTGTTTGGATGGGAGGCTCTTCCTGACCTGAGGGTAGACTGCAGGACTTTCTTTTTCGGGAAAGAACTTACTAAATGGAAAATGCACTGTTGGCCGGTTTCAGGCTGTTCACAAAGGCCTGTCAGAATTGCCAAGTCTTTTTAATTTGTTTTGGTAAGCCTAAGGTTGAAGGGTGGCTGCAAAAAAACCCCAACAACTTAAATTAAAACAACTGTTAAATATAATGAATTAAACTGAAGTACCGTGTAGGATTTTTTTTTTAGGACAAATTAAACGTTTTGATTGCCTTGAAACAGCTCCCCCCGCTGTCTTCCTGAAACTCCGCTCAAACAAATAAATACTCTTGAGTGAGCCCCAAAATATTTTTCCCTCCAATTTTGTTTTTGATTTAGCTATTAAGGCATAAAAATCAGTTCCCCTGCTTAGGGTTCACATGAAATGCTGTATGAGCCTGAACAGTGTTGAAGCTCACAAGTAATGAAAAGGATCTGTTTGCTGTCATCACAGGTAATTGGCTTGCTGCTTCTAAAAGCATTACAAAAACCAGGTAGATTTTCTTTGGGGTATTGTAGAATTGATGCTTGATCTGACAGAAGGCATTGGCATTTTCTTTAGTCTGCCAACCTGTCTGTGGAAGAGCTATGATGTGAGCTATTGAAAAAAACCAGGGGCTTTAAAACCAGCACTGACAGCAATGAATGTTGTCATTTTCAGTAACATACTGGAGTTGAAATTCAAAATGAATGGACGTAAAAACGACATGACCAAAATCTCTGCTCTGTTCCTGGCGGCAAGATAGGATGGGATGAACAGGGCAACACCCTGGAGAAAGGAGAAGCTTGAATCGCTGCTGCAGCAGGAAACCTCTGCCAAGTTAGAAGAGAGGCAACCCCAATCTGGCTCACCAGCCACTCTGGTAATCTGTTCGTGCAGCTTCTAGGCATGTCGTTTAAACGGCGATGCAGCTCGTTAGAGAAGAAAGCACGTTCTGTACAGAAAAAGGGAGTCTGCCCCAATCTGCTTTGCTGACTACAAACTGGCAGCAATCCTCCAGCACTTGGTAAACTGATGTGGTAAAGTTCAGTCAGGCAAATTTAGTTACTCCAGGTCACCCTGACTGGGAAATAATCCAACAGTCTTTGCGGTAGGCTCTTGTCTATCTAACCAGGGTGCACAACATTACCATTGTACGTACATGATTTCTGTGGGTAGGAAGAGAATATTGGATTTCAAGTTAATGCCTCTTCTAGCTTGTAAAATAATTTCTGATGAAGTGAGTTCAGACAAATGAGGTATTCGCTGTATGAAAAAACGTCCTAGTGTACATCATCCCTTCACAAAAACAGGCCTATAACATCTCATTGGAGATTCCTCTCACATCTCACAGAAATGCATTCAGGCTGCAACAGTAACACAGATCACGAGTTAGATTATTCAAAACAAAGACAGACTCCCCACGTGCTCCCCCAGTGAGTCCAGACCTAGTTCGTTACTTCACGCTGACTTGGACTCTTGGTTCTCATAGAAGTGTGTTCAAACTCCAGATTCAGAGGATCGCAAGATCCAGAAGAGGAAAGATTCTATTTTCCTGGTAAAAATCTTCACAAGGCCACTTAACGGTATATTTAGCATGTGTTGAAACAGGTTGAAGCTTCTTCTGGTAGCCTTTTATTATATTAAAAAACAACAACAACAACAGCAACAAAACCACTAAGAGATGTTGCAAGCTAATGCGTAACTATCTTTGGGGTTCCCTCTTTTTGTTAAGGTTTTCACAAAATACAAAATTAAATGTCTTTTCTACATACAGAACAAAGTAGAATCAAGTAACTGATTAGAGTATGTACAAAAACTTACACATTCCGTCTTGTTCTTTAAAAAATATAAATATCAATAATGTTCAGTAGAATGGGTTGGTTTTATTTTTAAGGCTTCATTCTTATAGATCCTTCATTGTTTAATGAGGTGCCAGGGAGGCAGGAAAGGGAGGGAAGAGAGGAGGTCGTGTTTTTTATTAAAGGTAATGCGTTTATTTCTCATGAGACTTTGCCTCATCTCTGGCAGGAGGAGATTTCCCTCCGTATTGATATAAGTTTCCAGGAAGCAGAGGTGGAAGGAAAGGAAAATAAAACCTTTATTATTGCTATTTTTTTTTCCTTCATTAAAAGCTTGTTTTAAACCTGTCTCCATTCATTGTCTTTGTAGAGAACCATCTGCCAAGTACGCGGATTAAAAAGACTCGAGCAGGAGGACTTCATCCCGGGTCCGCCTGGGAAAGGTTAGAGTGAGGAAGAGACTGCTGGAGGTGTTTTACCATCGACCCCAGCGGAGGTAGCAAGTGCTGCAGCTAGGGCAGCTGCTGCCGTTGCATCCCTGGGCGTGAAGTCTGTGGGAAGGCTTTCCATCAGGCACTTGAGCTGTTCCTGACCCAGTTTGATTTTATCGTCCAGCTCTCGCTGCTCTATGAGGAGCGCGGACTTCATCTTTACAAAGTGCTGGTAATCCTGGAGCTGTTCCTCGGAGAGGTAGTTGCCCAGGATCTCCAAGACAACCCGTTCTCGACGGTCAAGGTTTTCCTTCAGTTCCCGGGCATCTTCGTGCTGGCCAGCCAGCAGTTTCCTCTTCTCGTTCAGCGAACTCTGCACACACCAGAGAGAGCGCTTCAGTATCAGCAGCATCAGACTCACTGATCCCCCCTCTCCTTCCTCCCAACACCGTCTTTGACACCTCTAGGGGAGGCAGGATGGCTGTCACGCTCCCAGACAGCCTGTCAAAAGCCTGGGGGAGGAGGATGAGTTCCTCATTATGGATTGACTGTGAATCCCACTGAGTCAGACTCCGAATGTTCTAGTCAATGGGGGGCAGCAAGTCCAACAAAGTCAGTAAAACTTGCTTTAAAGCAACAACTACCAGAAAAATCTGGCATTGTTGCTCACAACCACCCAAAGAACGTTAAAATGCACAAAAGGCAGCGGGTTGTTCTACGATGCACAACACCGTACAAGCCTTTCCTCCAGCATGTCACAGACGTGCTGTCCTGAACACAGGCACTCTGTTTCAAGACAAAAGCCACAGGATCTGAGACTTACATACAAAGCGGGACCAAGATTCCCAGGGACAGAACCGCGTTTGCTCCGGCTTATACATAAGCACTGAGACACCTGCCTTCCCGTGAGCCTTCAGAGGTCCTAGCTTATACAAGCGCTTTCTTGTGACTGCAGCTGTCCCACAGCCCCAAAAAAGCCAAGATGCTATGGCTGTGCAGATACGTACCCGCTCTTCACTGTTGGCGTCTTCCCCCAGACTACTCAGAACGTTCTCTACGCGGGCCAGGCGTCCCGAGAGGGAGAGCAAGAGGTTCACCACCTTATCCAAATCACCAATGAACATCTTGTACTTGTCAAACTCGTTAGGTTTGCACAGCTTGCTGATCAACAGCTCCACCTCCTCTCCAAGAGCATTGTTCATCTTAATGTCTGCAAGGAGGCTCTCCTTGGCTTCCTTCAGGATTTCCAGTTTGTGGGTCAAGCTCCCGATGAGCTCAGCCTGTCAGAAGGGAAACACATTGCCACATCGGACGTTACCATGACCACCCCGGTCATACAGATGATGAAAACAAGAGGATATGGCTACGGTTCCTGAGAAGCAGGGTCAGGTCAGCAACGGCTGACAAAGAAGACATTACGGAGGAAACAGAGCAAACTCCAAAATTCCACATCTAGGTGATAATCGGAGTACCCGATCCGATTGCACAAAGATATATTTGTTCTACCATCAACGAACATTTATAAAAGAGACATCAGATTTGGTGTACCATCTTCTGATACCCAGGTGCTTACATCTGAAAGATGTAGGTTCTTTAAAGTCTCCGAGTGAAAAAAGTCACATCCACATCTCCTGCATGTTCCCCACTATCTGCCCCAGCCTGAAATTTCTGGTTTGGATGTTATATTTTTCACTACCCAGAACTGTACAAACCAACTGGCAGAAAAATGAATTTAAGCTGTATCAGTGGCATGACAGGAGGCTGAGCTGACACAAGCTACATATGGCGTAGCAAGAAAGAAGGAATTGCTCCATATTTTCCCTTCCTATAGTACCCTGAACCTACTGACTGTTCCTTACTCGGCCGCCTCGGTGTTGCGGTGCAAGCCTCAAATTCAACTGTGACCAAAACTCCCTGCCTGTGCAGGCACTGCCTCACACAGAGAGGCATCAAGTGGGCGCTTACACCAAAGATGCTCTAAATTTACTTAGTGACTGAGCAAAGAGATGGAGGGCACACACCCATTTTGTGAAAATGCTGGCAACTGTTTCACTGCTGAAGAAAAGGAGGCCCCCAGGGTTCACTTACTCCAGAAACAGCAGTGCTGCACATGTGCCGGAGATCTTAATTTCTGTTAGGATTTCGGGGAAAGACATATGCAAAAGCACAAGTCTGTGGCCTGGGGCTTGCAATTCTTCCTTCCATTTCCTCAGAACTAAGAGCGTGGAGAGCAGGAAAAGCTCTTCATAAAAGGGTTGGGTATTTTCCATCTCTTCAGTTTATGCATTGCTGAGGCACCATTACATATACGTTAATCTCCTCTGCCTGTAAACACTGCACGATGAAATAGATCACACGGTTGCCTGAAAATATTCTCTCAAAGTCATCTTTCCATCAAAACCAATGGTCATTTCAAGTAGGAAGGCAGCCTACTTCAAAAGAGAAAGGGTCTTCAAACCCAGGTCAGGCTAAGGGTTGCTCTGAATTGGCTATTATCTCCAGAGATGGCCTGTCAGAGTGGGGTTTAAAAAGCTGGTTTGGGAGCCGGGAAGTTACAGCACCGTTTAGTCAGACACCACTAGATGGTACACTTTGCGTGCATCCTCTGGAGCGCGTGGGTTTGCGGCTGCACTACAGTCTACTGTCACCTTCCACATATATGCAAAGGCTCAATAAAATGCGAGTAAAATTCTCTTAACACAAACGTCAGTTATCAGGCTTATGGTGGAATGACAGCTAAGTCACACCGTTTGTGAGCAGGGTAGTTCAGTAGTAGAGGAGAGGAAAGGTGGTACTAAATGCCACCTGCGAGGATAAGGGACAACCAAAACACCTTTTCTTGGACTCTCCCCTCAGTAGGCCAGGAAGCACCCAGAGACAACACTGGCCCTTCCCTGTGCCTATGATGCTAATGCCACCTTCAAAAGAAAGACCTGAGGTCCTCACCAGTTGATTGCTGGACCAAATCCTCAGGAGCAAAAGAAGGGATCCATTTTCAATGATTACGATGCCAGGGAGGAAAAAATCTACAGCAGGACTCTATGGGCTGGACACAGAGTCCAGCACGAACCTCGACAGGTTTTCAGGAGGAGGGAGCTGCTCAGAACTGGCTCCCCGCTCTGGGAGCTTTGCTCAAGGTGCAGACCTGCCCTCCGACCGTAGCAGGAGGCTACGGGACTGCTGGGAGCGACGTACCTTTGTTCTGAAGGCATGGGAGCTGGACAGGGACTGCGAAATACTTGCTTTGTGTTCATTAATTAGTGACTCTCCTGCGATCCCAAATGCCAACCAATATAGCTCCTTTGCCTACTTACAACGGAAATGAGCTTCATTTATCCAAATGACCTCTCAGAGTAGCTGCCTTCTCAGATAATGCCTATGCAAATGTTCCTTCACACAGACCATGAACAAACATATTGCTGTCTGGGCCTAATCACTCCCATCTATTTCTGGTTTTCCATGCAAATGTAACCTTTGAGGCCTGCAGCTTGTCCTCCCTGGCAGGCTCGCATCTACTCGAGAGCTTGTCAGACGCTTGCAGCGCGTCCGCCGACTCCTTGGAGCAGCACCCTCGTCTTGTTTCATCACTCCCTACCTTTCCCGTCGGTATAAGCCGGCAGTTGGTTTTGAAGTGAACAGCACCCCAAGAATCGATTGAATGCTACAGACGTGGCAGGAGCTGTGATTACCTTTGCAGCTGGCTGCTCTGCAACCGATGGCTTGGGACAGATAATTAAAGGTGCAGACAAAGGCCTTAGGCAAACGCTTTTGATTAGCATGATCTGTCCGAGCAGCGTTTCTACCCAGAATCTGTGTAAATCAGAGAAATAAGAGATGGCAGGCACGGCGAGTGTCTCTAACCCATTCCAGTCGCGTCGTACGACAGCTCCTAAAGACCTGACAGGGTCCCACCTGCACCTCAAATGCTCCACAAAATAGGGCTCATCTACTCACTTAGTACTCGTAATTTTTGTTACAGAGCACTTGGATGGAGGTCCCATTCGAGCTGTCATTGTGTTAAAGCCTGGTAGGGAGCAGATTTTGCTTAGCAGATAAAAGCTGAGAATAGAAGCAGTAAGAAAAAGAGGTGAGCTCTCCGCGTCAGGGCTGCAGGACAAATTGCACACTCACCAACATCACTCAGCCTCACATCTCTCTGCTTTTTAACACTCGGCATGGGGGTGAGGACCCGGAGAGAAAACGGGAAGCTGTGCTAGAGACAATTCTCTGCACTTTGACAGACAAGCTGAGTTTGGGAGCCTTTCTTTAAGTCCATGCCTGATTTCAATGCAGGAAGAATTCAGTACTATATTTACAGCATATGGAACTCGCACAAATATTTGTATCCTTCGGTATGTTTAAACTATGCTGTTGTACAAAGAGCATGAAATATGGGCTGCGCTACTCTGTCCAGTGCAACGGAGGATGTTTTAAATTTAAAAGCGGGCAGGCACAGCTGCTTTTGACACGAAGGTAGTAGGTGTGTGAAGGGAGGCACAGACAGGCAAGTACCTGCCTGTGGCTCCTTGGGATTTGTGAGCTTTGCAACATGTCTGTAATTAGCAGGTAACCTATGTGAGACAACCGCAGGGGCAAATTAGAAGGCCCTGCAAAAGCCCTGGAAGACAGAGCAGCCGAGCCTACAGCAAGAACTGCAGGGGCCGTTCCTCAGTGAAATGTAGCCGCAATAAGAGAGGAAAATGTTTCCTCCTCTCCTGCCCTGCTTTCCTCCCACCCAAATCGTCACATCGAGGTTGTGCTGACTGAGCTGCCGAGGCGCACATGGCTTTCAGCAGGTCAGTGAAACTATAAAGTGTTGGGAAAAGGCGTAACCAATGTTTCTTTGGAGGCAGTGAATGCAGACAGTAGGTAAAATGGGTAAATTGGCTTCACTGAAGAGGAAAATCCTAGGGCGAAACCTCATGCCCTCAGACACCGCAGTCACTAGCTGGATTCCTGTTTCTAACCCTGTTTCTTGCTCAAGTCACTTCATCTCTCCGTTTTCCCTCCTCGGTACAGGACAGGGACTGCCTCTTACAACCTGTATTGGTGTAATACAGGCCCGCCTCAGGGTTGTGCAAGATTTGCACTCAAATTTGCAGAAAGTACTCAGATTAGTTCTCTTCGTTCAATCTGGGCCACACTAATGGAGCTTCACAGGTAGCCTAAATGCACCCAGCCCCCACACAACTTGGGACTGCCAAAAGATGACATCAAATAGAAATGCACTTTACTCTAGGGCTTATTAATATTTCAGGAATGTAACCAGCAAATGGTGGTGCGTGCTGAATTTACCTTCTTCTCATTGATGTCCAGCAGCTCCTCTTCCTCACCTACTTCTTCTGGCAAGTCCTTAATTTTATTCAGCAGTTCTGCTTTGGGTGCTGAAACGCTGTAATAAGCAGGGCAGGTGACCAGGGTTACAGGAGCTTCCTTTTCTTCTCTCCTACACCACAGTGAAGAAAAAGGAAGAGTTCAGTCTGAGCCTGACTTTTTCCCATGCCTGGATCCATGGTTTTCCAGCGCTCCCTCTGTGGTACCTTCCCAGTGATATTAACCACAAAAGAAATGGAAGATTCCTGCCATCAGAGGGTGCATGTCAGCTGCTTTTAGCTCTCTCCCCTGAGCAGAACAGCACAGCTGCTCTGTTTAAATGCTGACTGGTTAACAACTCTATACGGGATTGCGTCCTCGCTGAAGGTAAATGAGCACAGCTCCGCTGATGATGGCGAGACTGACCATCTTATCTACCACGGTGCATTACAACTTATTTCTGTATGGTTCCCCACCTGTCACTTGGGAGTCTCTATCTTAATAAAACCACACTGAAGGACTTGCGCTGATTTGCATCCCCCTCCAGTAAGAAGGTGCCCCCATCCCTCCTTCCAAAATTTGGCCTCTCATTACCTTTCTGCCCGCCACTGTTTTCCTCCTCATTTTACTGTCGTATCTCTGTTACTGTGCTTTGGACTGACTTGCTTCACATTACAAAGGTTAAGATTGCAAAATCCAGTAACATCTCCGGAGGTAGTTTGTTTCCTGCCCCGTTACCAAGCTCAGCATCGTTTTCTACACAGCCCAGAGAGGTGAGCTCAAAGGTCACGCGTACAGCCGAGCTCATGACAAAAGGCATTCAGAAATGCCCTGCCAGTCCTCACGCCTGGGAACTGAGGAACTCGCTCTCTGCCAGCATCCAACTATACAGATGTGGAAAAATTCAGCAGAGGCTTGTCCTGAAGAGCAAGCGAGCAGTGAGTTCTGCTGCAACACCAGCCCAACAACCCAAACAAGCAGTGCTTACGTGTCCTCTTCCACTGCCGCCCTGCTAGCTTGCTTCTGCGTCATCTTCCTTTTCATGTTGTTCTCCTTCAGCAAGCTGGTTCCGCTGGGGAAAAGCCCTTCCATTAAGTCCATGGTTGTCTTCATTTTGGAATCTGGATCCAGGATATCAGCCAGAGACTTGTCTTTATGGACAATTTCTTTTGCTAGAGCCTCTGACTTAATATCCTCTGGGGTCTTTTGCTTTGTCTTGACTGGAGGTGTCCCAGAGTCCAGGTTGCCGTTTTCTGACTCTCCGGTGACGACTGCTGGCTCTCTATGGTTGCCTTCAGGTTGAGTTATGGGCTGTCTATCAGTGCTTTGAGGCCCTTCAGAAGAAGCAGGTAACTGGTGCTGCTTATCCACAGCAGACGGAGAGCTAGTCCTCTTTGATGCAGGTGGGGAGAGGGGCGAATTATTTTCACCGATACCAGTGCCCAACTCTGTTACCTCCCTCTCAGCCAGCGCTTTGGGAAAGCTTTTGAAGCTGCTATGGACAGAAAAATTCTGTGAGATGAAGATAAACTTACCACACAGGACCATTGTGAACACAGGGTGCAGGCCTAAGACAAGTTAAGTGTTCCTTCTCTCTCACTTATTTTTGTGTCTTACTTCTCACTTCAACATGGAAAGACCCACAGTATGAAGCTACCAGCACCAGGAGCACATTATCCCCTCAACCCGAACGCTGCTGTTTTGTCATTCCAACACAGAAGGAACTAGCGAGCGACAAGTCAGTTTGCTTTCTGCTCACAGGCAGGGGACACTGTGTCTCACCACCTGGCAGTACCATCCTGAGCAGCCTATACTCATTTCTTCTTTTCATGTTGGAAAAACCAATCACTACCGCAGCCCCGGCCAGACTCTTCCCAGATGGAAATAAGAGCAGCTCCTTGGGAGCGAGGGAAGCTGTGCCGAGTTAAACCAGCTGGGCAGCTAGCCCGAAGTCCCATCCTTCAGGACAAATTCACTATACAGTGTCACTGTGACATATTTGTGTTGCCACTTCTTGGCAGATGGTCACTGTTTCATAACAGCATTATTTTGTGCCAGGTCCAAAATGTATTCTGGGAAACTCTAACTGTTGGGAAAAACTGTTGGGGATTTTCATAGTTCTCTCTCAAAAACCAGTAACTGGAAGGAGTCAGCAGCCATTTTAACTCTTCATGCTGGAGTGAGTAAGAAGAAACTCCACTAAAATCCATACAGGAACTGCAGGGAGAACAAGACCGGGACAGTTTCTCACCCATTACCCGCTTTGCCTTGCTTACTAAGCACCTGTCAGCGCATCTGCTGACGGATGGGCCTCAAAGCCTTTTGCCTTCTTGCTTTGTGCCCTGCTCCGGCCACATCATTTGACAACGCTTTTGGCATAGCGGCGGCAAGTCTGTCTGTCTGTCCTTCTCCCCTTAAAACACGTGCCCTCCTCTGCAAGCTTCCCGCTCAGCTAGCAGCTGTGGGTTGGTCGTCGCAGCACGCAGAGCTGCGGAGGTCAGTCACATTTGTCTACAGCCCCGCATATCTTACTGTATATGGCCCTACAACGCCCGAGACGCTGCGTTACAGCCCTCCCTTACCTCACTTTGGCCTCCTCTGTGAGCCTGGTGGATTTGTCTCCAGCTGCCCCATTCCCCTCAAGCACCGCCGGTGGGGGAGGAGGTGGGAATTCCTCCGGTGGGGGAGGAGGTGGGAATTCTTCCGTGCCGTTTGCAGAAGTGCAGGAGCTCAGCGCGGGAAGAGGACGGGATGGCAGTGGGGGTGAGAAGGCTGGAGCGACGACACTGGGCTGGGAAGGCATGACAAACACCTCGTCGTCTTCATCGTCCTGCAGCGATGGTGGGGGCGTGAGCTGCAGGCCCGACTCCGAGATCCGGAGATGAGTTGTCCCCTGGGGAGAAGGAGTTTCTGGGTCAGAAGAAGTGCTGCTCTGTGTCAGCAGGGACTGCCACCTCTGGGAGAACTTTGGCCCAGCCGCTGGGGGAGATACCATAGCCCTTGGGTAGCTGTTGTCTTTGACCGAATGAGCCCACACCACTTTGGGTGGGAGCGATCTGTGAAGCAGCCCGGCTTTCCTTCTCCACATCATTTCATCCGTGGGAGTCTCAGGGGATCTATCCTGGACAGCGTCCAAAGGCTGTACCTGAATGTTACTATTGCCCTCAGGGGGGATAGCATCTCGTTTGGCCTGGTGCTGTCTCAGAGCCTGGTCATCACCCGCACTCTGGAAGTCTGAGGGAGTCTGAGTGGGCGTACTAGGGGAGGACTGGCCAGATCCAGAAGGAGTAAGGTTAAGGAACAAGGGTTTAAAGCCTTGCTTTTGCTCAGGATAGTGACTCCTTGCCTCTGTTGGGGATGGGACAAATGCAGAAGTCCTGCTTTCTGGCCTGGAAAGTTCTGAGAGCTTGTGGTTCTCTGTCAGCATGGTGGACCCGGTGACAGCCTCGCTGCTGTGGTGAGGGTGGGGATAATAACGTGTGAACGCCGTTTTTTCTGAGTGGCTTCTTTCTTGCTTGCTGAAAGACCTGAAAACCGAGAGGCAGACCATGATAAGTTTAATAATTAATCAATGAGCAAGAAAAGCTATCGTGCACCTCCTTAATGAGCAAATTATGCAACCACATCAGAGGCCTGGGTCAGTGGCTGCTGATCTAGGTGAGGTGCAATTGTGCTTTGAAACTGGTAGTAAAATCCAGTCTACTAATTCTAGGGACATGGAGCCAGAGCCATACCCACTTGCCATCTCCCAGCATTTTCAGTGTGGGCTAGGTCACACACACACACACTCGTGCACACATGTAGCAAGCATCACAGCAGTAACTTAATAGAAAAAAAATTTAGGAAAACCGAAGTGCACGGCTTCCTTTCCAGCCTTGCTTTGAATGTTGTTTGTTACGGATGGGGCTAGTGGTGACTGCTGTAAGAAAGACTACTTGACATTATCCACCATCAAACTCCATTCTCAATCGCTGACAATTTTAAGAATTTCAGCTTTATGGGCCAAAAAATCCCATAACATGATCTGCTCCTTTTGGAAAGGTGCCGTTAAAATGATTCAACTGTCTCTGAGAACAAAGTGAGGCCAAAAAATGCACTATTTTGACTGCGGAAAAAATTTAAAAAAAGCTCTTACAACCTTGGAATCCTGTTAGAAAAAAGAGCTCCACTCAGATAGGCAGTTGTTACAGACACCAAAGCCAACACACTTCAACTGCAAAAGGATGTTAAGGCTGCAAAGCCAGGACATTAAATTATTCCTTCCAGATCTTTTAAGGTGTTCTCATGTGAGTCTGAGAAAAAGCGTCTGGCCTTTGAAATGAGGATCCTGCTCAGAATACATAGCCAAACTTACTTTCCCGTATGGCTATTTAGCTGGAAAACAAAATAAGCAGTAATAATAGCACTAGGCGATGCAAGAGAAGATGGTCTAAAAACATGAGGCCATACCATAACACAATAAAATACAATAAAGCTCTACTGCCAATATATGTTCTGTTCTTGAGATGCATTGTTCAAATAATCCAACACTGCCAATCCGTAATGTTTGAGACTTGGGCCCCAAATTTGCTCTCAGATGTACTGGTACAAATTAAGAATAACTCTGTCAAAGACATGGGTCTTTCTGGCTTTATTCTGGTGCGACTGAGAATAGAATTTGGCAGCCTTTGCCTGGGGGTGGGGAAACTTCCCAGACAGACTGCTCTTGGTATTGTCTGTGGTTCCTGGACAGTAGCAATGTGTATTCTTTTCAGATGCTCAGTGTTTGTCAGAAACGCCAGATGGTAATTCTCTAATTGAAAGATCTCTCCTACTGTGGAAGCAATTGTGGATTCTAAAACTGGTGGAGCAACAACCGTTCCCAACAGTGCTTACGAGACAGCTATTGTATGACACCTGGGGAGCAGCATAAGAGCACAGAGCGTAAGTCACGGAGCACGTGTGACCGGACCAAGCGACTGCTGACCAGGGTTTCCGTAACTTCACCATTTGACGGTTTTCCTCCTTGAGCAAGAGAAGTAGTAGGGATGGTCCCATCTCCTCTCCAGCACATCAAGCAGCTGTGTCCCAAGGAAACCTAGAAGCATTTCCTATTGCTTTCCCTGAAGGGCCCGTGCACGGAGTATGCTGCAGACAGCGACAGGATGGTGATGGTTAGCTGTGAGAGGACTGGCTAGAAACCCAGCTATTTCGGGCTGACAATCACAGGACATACAACAACTGCATTTCTTAAGGGATGGATTAAAGACGCTACAATAATCCCTTATGAACCAGACTGTGAACTGGGGCAGGGGAACGTTCAACAGTATCCTAAATAGTGGAACTCCTCCTGTGAATCATTGACACATAGGTAATGTCCTGGTCTGCCTGTCCCTTTCACGCTGAGGAGGATTCAGATCTTGTTCTCTCTGAGAGTTAAATGTAAAACTTCTATCGGCTTCAGCAGTGCACGATCAGAGCTGTGTGGCTTCCAAAACTCATGGCCATTCACTTTCAGGTCATTTCAGCTGCAGTCACATAAGAAAAATCACTCAGGCTCACTGGGAGTGATTTGCAGCCTGCGTAGTGGGACCCTGCGTCCTCAGAGCCAAGGGCTTTTCCCTGTCTTCTCCCATCCTTTCATTCTGTCTTTTGGGAAATCCAATGTCACAGAATCACAGAATGGTCAGCGTTGGAAGGGACCTCTGGAGATCAATCTAGCCCGACCCCCCCGCCAGAGCAGGGGCACCTACAACAGGTTGCACAGGACGGTGTCCAGGCGGGTTTTGAATGTCTCCAGAGTGGGAGACTCCGCAACCTCTCTGGGCAGCCTGTGCCAGTGCTCTGCCACCCTCAAAGGAAAGAAGTTCCTCCTTGTGTTAAGATGGAATTTCCTCCTCATGTTAAGATGGAATTCCGATCGAGAAGGGAAAGCGACCTCCCATCTCCCAGAAGAAATGTGCTTGCAGAGCAGGCAGAATGCCTACGCGGCAGAAACGTCATAAGACTGTTAAGTTAATACCAATAATCTTTGTGCAGTGAAGCATGACAATGAGAAACCTACATTTCGTGCCCCAATAAACTTGTTTTCAGTCTGGGTGTTCAATCCCGTTGCTTGGAAAATAGGTTGGGGGGGAGGGAGGGAAGGAAGCAGCAAGTAGTTATTGAGAAGAATGATGAAATGCCATCTCTAGAAGAAATGGGGAGGCAGGACGAACTAAAACAGCTGCATTTTTCTCTTAGGAAAAAAAAATGGAAGAAGTTATTCCAAATCAAAGTAAACGGGTGTGTTTTCAATAATTACAAAAGGATGTGCCTGAAGGCAGGCTGAATCCCTCTCAAACAACTTTTACGTCTTCTTAGCAGCAAGAATGGCCAGCCAGTCAGAAGTAAATTCCAGCCAGACTAGGAGCCTTCCTCAAATTCTAGCTGTCGCTCCCCGACCCAGAGCTGCTGGGGAAACCTTTGGAGACAGCAGTGTTAACTCCCACTGTGACAACAGAGTGGCTGACATTTACGGCGAGTTTGTGAGAAACAGAGCTCCTTTGTGAATAATTCTTTTAGTCCCTCTTGATGGTTTTTACTGTAATATGAGTTAGCTGTTTGGGCACTCAGAGCTTAGGGCAAGCATCTATTTATTATTTAAATGTAAATACAGCAAGATCAACTTCAGTTCTAGTTAACTTCAAAACAATCCACTGCTAAGTGGATAGTTACATAAGTCCTAATATTATGAGTTTTATGATTACACTTTTCTATTTTTAAAAGCATTTCTCTCTCCCCTGTTGCTGAGAAAAATATCCCGCCTGCACAAAGGAAAGCGGGCGAAAGGCAAGCTCCCAGTTCAGCAAGATAAATGAAATCTCCTGGTTTTAGTCTGCGCAAATGTTCACTTGCTTTTGGGGAAGCAGCACCCTGGACTGGAGAAAACCAAACAGAGTGCGACATGAAAGTATTTTTTCCTTTAAAATCCTTCACTTATGATAGCATCTGGATATGAGTTCCAACAGCAGATCAAACGCATTTTGGAAGTTCCGTAACTGGAGATTTGCCACAGAAACATGCTCCAAGACAACATGAGGAGGACTTGATAGTGAATTAATGCCTACAGTAAAAAAAAAAACCTCACAGCAACTTACTCCTCCTAACTCTGCTGGGCACAGCACACCCAGAAGTGTGTCCGTGCTGATGTTTTCTCTAGTTTGTCACGATCCATCTGTTTACATAGACAACACATGACAACTGGTGCTGGCAGCAGGATGGCAAGAGCTGACCCTGCAGTGACAAAGGGGACATTAACACATACTTACCTGGCTCCTGCGCCGACCACGTAGAAAGGATCTCTCGCCATGGTGCTAAATTCACTGCTTTCCCTTCTCAGCAGGTCCTGGAGTGCAAATACAGCATTAGCCGCAAGCAGAAAGCAAAACAAAATAGCAAAACAAAATAGCAAAACACTGATGCTTCCTACTAAGAAGAGAGCACAGCACGTGCCATATGCAGCTGGGAGAAAAACTCTGGCGTGGCGTACCACTCTCCAGCACCCTACTTCTGCTTAGAGGACCTCTCTGTGTTTTTCTGGGTGGATTGTGGACCAACAGGCAGTCTTATTCAGAGAAATGTTTTTTAAAACCTCTCAGCAAATACTTGCCCGTTCTAAAAACAGGCTCAACGGTATCAGTGGGACCTGGGCTTTCACCTCTGGTTTATGTGCAAGCAAGAAGCTGAGACACCGCTAAAGCAGCCTCAACCAGGGTGGCTAAATAGCGAACAATCTGTGCCCAAGCCCAGTGCCAAAACAGGACGAAAACGCTGCAGAGATGCTGAATGCCACAAAGGTTGGGAACTCCAGCCACAGGCAGAGGTGCTGAAAAACACCACAAAGTCTGGCATTTGCTTCTTTTGAAAAGCAAAGCGCAGGAACTATCTCCTCTTCAGGTATTTATGTCATCTAAAACCAGAGAAATTTTGCAGCTGAAACGCCTTTGGGAATCTGACTCTCTGCCCTAGAGCTCCCACCATAGGACACCAGGCTATTATGAGACATGAAAGCAAATGGTAAGCCTGCTTTTGAAGGGGTTAGTGTTTTCTCCCCTACAATCTTTCCAGCAGAAAGCATTTCAGTTACCCCCTTCCCCACACCCTTAGTAATTTGCTTTTTTGGTCAGTGTTGCTGCAGAGAGAGGGTAAGTGCAGATCTTGATTTAGGAGTCCGGGAGCTGGGAGATACGCGGGCTGAGACAGGCTAAAAAAGCAGAGAGGAAGGAAGGCTGAGAATGCGTTCTGGAGACTGAGAGCTAATAATTCCACATGGCTATCAATTTTCCCTATATCTTTAAACAAATTCCTACAGTGACATTGTGATGTGATTTATACGCAGCCTGAAAGGAACGTTGGATGCTGTACACAGGGCCCTGAAAAACATACCGTGAGGCAGAGAAGTCTGCTGCTAAACTGGAAATAAACATTTCCCGCAAAAAAAATATCTGAAAACGCTAAAAAAAATTACAAAATAAAAATAAAATAATCACCCTGTTGCTTTGGCTTTGTCCCCCAACTTTTACAGCTGCGCTTTTGTATTGGAGGCAGATCAGAAACAAAGCTAATTAACAGAGCACTTAAACATATACTTCCTTTTCAAACAGACACTTACGGATTGGTGTATATATGTGAAGTCAAACATGCTTTCTTGAATTAGGATTTAAGAACAGGACTTTCACGAGTGCCTTGCTGCCTATGGGACTAAATCCTCATTCCAGAAGTGGATACAGCTAAATCACTCTGGGAAACAGCAGTAAGGGCTCTCTCTTCTTCTACACTTGAACTAAGACCCTGTGCACAGGTCTGCGCTGCTGTTCATCATCTTCCTCCAGTCAGCTTCCAACAGGCAGAAACTCCGGTTTGGCTGCTGAACGTATACAAGATTACAAATGAGCCACCAAGGGGGAAATAAAGAACTTAAGGAGTACCCTGTATGTCGCCTGCCCAAGAGAGGGGGCTGGGTAAAAACGAACGAGGGCTGGTTGCGGTCCAACCTGTCATTAAAAGTACATTTTAGTGATTTTTCTCTTTCTGGATGCCTGGTTTTGTGCCGGGACTGTGCCGGGAGGCAGAGAAAGAGTCACAGCTTGGCCTTCACCCTACATTTCTTAAGGACTGTTCTCTTACTGAACGCAAGACTTCACAATCGTCAAGTGTGACAGAATTGCACAGATGAGCCTGATGCCTGGCTGGTGTGGAAAAATACTGCTGATGGGATGAGACGGCAGCAGTTGTGGAAATGCATTCCAGTCACTTGATATTCACAACCTGCTGGTTTAATTCCCTCTATTTAAAAACGCAGCGTGGGATCTGAGGTCTGTCGAGGGAGGACATTCAGAATGAAGCACACGAGTGTGGGAGGACAGCTCCTTCCCCCGCACCCCGGTTTGGCCTGTTTCCCAGCTGCTGCCCAGCTCCTCGTTGACGTTACTTGACCCAGTACCCCTTCGCTGCACCTAAATTATCTATTCTGGGCCAGCAGCAAGTGCAAGAGTAGAAGGAGATGTTCGGCATCTCAGCTTCCCTGTAAATATGCAAGACTGTCCAAACACTCAGGGTATGTGGAGTGAGGAGCCTGTCCACACATTTTTGTTGTTTCCTCCCTCTCCCCGTGATGAAGGGAGCCCGGCATGGAAACGGGATGGAGCGGCAGACCCACCGCTGCTGTAAATCCGTGTGGCTTAACCAGCTGCGGTTACCTAAATAGGTCTGAAGAGATTTCAGCCAGCTGAAGAGCTGGCCTGGGCAGTTGTTCCTGAAGAAGTTAGCCTGTTCCTACTATTTACCATCATCAGAGTCAGTCGAATTCCCCGTTTGTGACATCAGTGCAATGTTCCCAACCGCCAAGCTGGGGACATGGAAAGACCAGCCAGGGTCTCCGCTAAGTTTTCTCTGCGATGTTTCCCTCCAGGGCTGGAGGCAAAACATAATGGTTACTTGGCAGTGCCTCCGCCGAGCATTTCCCAGCACTGGCAGGCACAGCGGGAGCCAGGGCGATTTCAAGCAGCCTTCAATCCTCTCTACTTCGCACCACAAAAGTGGGCTAAGGCAGAACAGCAGCAACAGCGTATCACCACCTTAACGGCAGACCCCGCCAGAAAGGCGATGAGTGCTTCTCCGGTGATGCTAGCAGGTAAGAACAGGACACTGCAGATGGGATGTTGGGAGCAGCAAGAACACAAGAACGCTACCAGCATGTGCACTGACATCCCAGCATCTCTGAGATCCCTGAAATAGCCCCAGAAGTAAGAAAGCTGAACAGAAGCGCTACCCCACCGGCAAGCATTTAAAACAGCATCCTGGTAATTTAAACACAATAAATGGTCTGTATCTCACCATGCACTTAACCTCCCTCTAACCAATAGAGTACTTGTGATAACTCAATATCGACTTGTCCTTCAGAGTGCCCTGCTTGCCTGCACGCATGACCCGGTTTCCACATACCTGGTGTTTCTTATCTGCCGTGGGAGACGATCTGGAACGTATATGCACAGGGACTGTCTGATTGTCATACCTATCGAGCAAGTCTTCCACAGACACTGATTTCCCAGATTTCCTGGCAGAGGAGGCCGTTTCAAAGACCTGCTCCTGCTTCTCGTAGCAAGGCCGGCCCTGCATGCCCAGAGGGTCTGTCTGCGTGCCTTTGGTGAGCTCCGTTTTGGCTCTGTAATCCCGGCACCTCTCTGTTTTCGGTCGGCTCGTGACCAAGCTGTCCTGGCGCCCTTTCTTCTCATCTCCACTCGTGTCAGAGCAGCTCATCAACCCAGGAGGTAGGGTAGAAGATATCCGCCTCGTCCTGGATATCCGCTCTACAGGCTCTCTCCTGCGGTAAAGGTTCTGGTCCTGGAGGGAATTCATGCTGGAGGCGGATGAAAGGCTCTGGCTGTCTGGGCCACCTGCCTGTAGGTAGGAGCTGTGGGAGCGCTCCCTCAGCAGCCCAACATCTTGCGAGGATGGCCGTCTCCCTGTTTTGCGCTCGATGTACTCGGCGAGGGCGTTCTGCTGGAGTTGCTTGAGCTCCGGCTTGGAGAGGCTGGCTGTGGAAGAAGCTTTGCCATCCCTTTCAAAGATCTTACGCCGGTCAGCCACCGTATTCTCTGGGAAGACAAAATGGATGCTTTTCTTCTGGAAGGAGAAAGGCGATGGCTCCCCATCAGAGATGCCCACCTCATTCATCTTCTCCGGCTCTGAGTAAGACCGCTTCTTCTGCTCTGCCGTCAGCCGCTTTCGGCCCCCGATACGCAAAACATGCTGTGTCTTGGCGTAGTCCAGGGCGGAGAGGCTGCCTTCTGTCGGCGTGACGCTGTGCCTCTCCTTTGGGGTGTGGGGAGACGCTGCCATGCTCCTCATGCCCACGTGGGCCGAGGCAGGCCTCTGGGTTGTCCTCTTGGGTGTGCTTCCAAATGGAGGGCTGATGCGACGGAAGGAAGTGGCCCTCAGCACCCTGGACTGAGCATCTTTAATGCTGTTCCTGTAGGCCCTGTTAAACGGTGTGTCCAGCTGCGACCCGTGGGCATCCTGGACGTTATCCTTCCAGAGGATCTCCTTCTCAGGCTCACCTCCCAGCTGGAACGTGCTTTTACTCCTCGGTAGCTGAGCCGCTCTTATTTGCGCCTCACTTTCAGGACATAGGCTGTAGTATTCGCCAGGTCTCGCCTGCTTTGCCGAAGCCACCATCTGCAGCTCTACGGGGCGCCAGTCTGCCTCTTCCAGCTTCCCGTTCCTGACAGAGGGGCTGGAGACCCTGCCTGGCTCACTGGGCAGCTGGTTGGGCTCGCGGAGCTTGCTCTTCATGTCCTCCAGGCTGTTCAGAGAGCACCTTGTGCTGGAGGGCTGGCTCGTCCTGCTGGGCCCATAGTGCTGGCCGAAGCTGGGAACGCCAGCACTCGGGGGCCGCTGAGTGCTTTGCTCTCGCTGCTCAAACTTGCTGACCTTCTCCAGCACCGAGCAGCGGGGCTTGCCGGCATCTGGTTTGCCATAGGGAAAGCTTTGGGCGCTGCTAGAGCTGAGCCGGTTCCTCCCGAAATCAGAGGTCTTCGGGTGCTGCGGAGAAGGGGGCTCTTCGCACTTTGGCTCAGCAGCGTGGAATGGAGTCACGGTCGTGCCCTCCTCCTCCTGCCTTGCAAAGGCCTGTGGGTCCACATCACTCCGCTGTTTGTGCCCCTGTCCCCTGTGATCCTTCTCCTCTTTACCGCTGCTGTTGAGGAAGGACAGTTTGGTGCTGGAATAACACTCGCCTGGTTGTATCTCTCTTAGCTCGGAGCTGCTTTGCCTCCGGGAGCTCTCTGGGATGTTCTGCAAGGAGGAGAAGCCATACTGCTTGGCCTTGCTATGACCCCACTGCTGGTGAGCAGCAGCGTCTCTCTCGTTTATCTGTGCGTTGCCATTTTTGTCCTCCTGGGATTCAGCCGTCCAGTCCTCTTTGGGCTGGTAATGGGTTTTTCTCTCACTAGCATCCCTCGGCTGGGGCTGCGGAGCTTGAAAACTGTGTTTGGAGGCCTGTGCGGTACTTGCAGTCTCTTGGTTGCTGTGTGCCACCTTGTAAGGGGGTAACAACTCCTCCTTTCTCGACGTGCTCAGGCAGACTTCTGGGCCTGCCATGCTAGGAGGTTTTTGCTGGAGAAGTTTTGCTGCAGCATCGTGCTTTCTCTCGGCTGCTGGGGGCTGGTAGAAGATGGTTGATCTGTTTGTAGTGCTTTGGTTTCCATTTTCATCAAAGCCCAGAGTTCTGCTGGCTACGGCCTTGTCGTAAGAGACTGGAAGAGGTGGAGAGTACCCACTTTCTTTGGCCAGAGCTGGATAAAGTGTCCCATTATTGCTTGCAGAAGGCTGGGGCACCTGGGCGTAGTGTGGCTCTGGGGAAGGTACTGGGTAGACACCAGTAGGCAGCAGGGGCTGTCCCGGCTGGGCTGGCTGGGAATAGCTCTGCTTGGGCTTCACGGTGGGGCTGCTCTCTGGGCTCCTCTCCACCACGGTGTGCAGATGCCCTTCTCCAAAGGGGGTTTTCAGCAGCGGTCCCTGGGATAGGGTGCTGACAAGCTGAGGCCAGGCCCCTTTCGGCTGGGTTCGACCAAGCTTGTTCAGATCAAGGCCGGCGTACGAGCTGGGCCTCTCGTGATGCCTGATGGCTGCGTAGCTGTCGCTGCGAGTGGGAGGCAATGGAGGTCCCTTGGAGGGCTGGTTCTTGCTGTCCGAGGAGCCCTGGCCTGGCTGCGCCCAGGAGGGAGCTGCGTTGTGCCGGCTGAAGCCGTGGAGCCTGCCATGGCCGCGACCGTCCAGCAAGGCCCGGGCCTCGCAGCTCGGAAGCAAGGCAGAGGACTTCACCTCATACTCCTCAGAGATCCCTCGCTGGGCGTCGTAGACTGTCTTGACGTACCTGATGTCAGCTTGCCTCATCCCCTCCTGCAGGCCACCTCGGGACTGCACGCTGTCTGTGGAGCAGGAGTGCTCCTTGCTGAACGGAGGAGCAGGATACTCAGGGATGCTAGAGTTGGTGGAGAAGGAGCTGTAGGCAGAGTCTCTCTTGCTGTGGAGGTGGGAGAGCTGGTCGATGCTGTTGGTGGATTTGGCCGGGGACAGGTGACAAGGGTGGTAGCCAGGGGAGGAGTGGTCCAAGCTCTCCATGCTGCCCCGGGAACTGTACTGGTCAGGACTTCTCCTCAGATAGCCATGCTCATAGCCAGAGAGATCGCTGGTGGAGGAGCTGGGGAAGAGCGAGAGAAGAGTAAAAACCCACTGTCAGCAGAGGAGAGGCACGACAACTTATAAGCGAGCTCAGAAGGAAGATGTTTAGTTTTGCAAAGTGCAGATGAAAACCCATATTTGGGCCTTACTCCATCCCCTGTTTGCAGTCATCCCAGTTCACAAAGAGGAACTGCTTGACATTGCAACACATGGCTCTTATTTACCACCGAGGGTGGGAGGGAAATGCAGACAGAAAGACAGTGCATCTCTGGAGCCAGGGAGGATCAACCCCACCCATCAAACCTATCCAAAGCACTTGGAAAGCTGAATGAGCGCCGACGCCACCGAGGAGGAGGAGAGGAGCACGAGAGGCGTTCTGGGGGGAATCTAATCTCTTTCTTTTTTTCCCATTTCATTTCTTTTTATGGAGATGAAGGCTATGCCCTGGCAGGCTTCCTGGAAATTCAGCTGTCCCAAGGATAGTTTGTTTGCCGCGAGAAAACTAAACTGACAAGACAGAGAAGAGATGCATGTGTTTGTGCGTGGAGGCAAGCGGGGGTGCAACAATAGAAGCAGTCTGAGGATGCCGCAGGAAGTCTTCGCAGCCGCCTCCTCACGTAGCTCAGCAGGTGCAGGTACACCTCGTCACCTGCGCTGAGATACACGTGTGTCAAAATATATACTCGTGGCCACCAGAGAGGTGTTCAAAAAAGAGGATATTCAGAGATCTTTCTATCAGTGGGAAGGGACCTCCTTGTGCCGACCACTGTTCTTTCTACACTTCGCATGGGGGTATCACAAATTTATGTGGAGTTTCCCCTGGCTAATCTCTCCTCCCAGATTCAAGCAAACGCACTGAAGATTGGAGAGTGTAGCCTGAGGATTTCCCTTCTCTTCCCTCTGTTCTCAGCTCCCCTCCCTTAGGTATCGCTTTCTCTAGTTCCCTGTGCAGCTACACACGCTGTCCGGGCAGAGCCACAGGAAAGCACCAGGAAAGGAAAGACTGCTGTCCCACACGAAGGGTGGCCGGGCAAGGCTCGGAGCTGGAAGCAGGAACGGAGAGGAGCCTGGGTTTGCAGGGTGCAAGCTGCAGCCTCAACTGGCAGAGGGAAAGGGAAGCTCCATTTCTGTGTGCTTTGCTCCACTGGGAAAACAAAACCAAACCTGCTCCCCGCCGTGGGGGAGCTGGGGGTGCACAGCGGCCCCGGGAATCAAGGAGGCAGCGAGTGTGTTTGGTAACAGCCCCCTCCCTAACGAGTGTCTGCTGAAGAACCTAAAGCTTCCTTCAGATCATATCCCAGCCGCGCTCACTTCCACCCGGCTGGATTAACACCCACACGCCCAAAGGACGGACAGGGGGGAAATGGCAGCTAAGGATGAGGAAAGGCAGAAGGAAACCTGCCTGCGAGGGGAAAAAGCAGCAGCTCAGCAGAGAGATGCAGAGGAACACACAGACGGGCAGAAAGAGATACGGCAAATCTCAGGATAAAGCTGGTTTACTCATTTAAATGCACCGCTCTATTTTAGTTTAAAATAAGCATCTCCCTGGCAATGCCCAGCGCAGCCCCGGCCAGCTGGCCGCTAGATGTTCCCCGTGCTCCTCTACGAGCACCCAGGAGACAGAGCCGGGCTGCCAAAGGCTCTGCCAGGAGCTATGGCTGGGAAGCAAAGGCCTCGGGTGGGAAATGAATGTGCTACAGCCTCATCTGCGCTGAAGGCCAGAGACGAACATACATTTTTTTCTGTAACCATCTCCTCACTTTTTTTAATGCTCTGTTTTCTTTTACCTCCCCTTTGCCAAGGCTCAGTCTCACCCGTAGAAGAAATGACATTTAAATCCCAGTGGCTATAAGGAGAGTTTCCTGCTCCTGAAACCCTTCTGCCTTTCCAGAGAAAGTCCTCCGAAGGCAGAATTTACACTTGTGCCCCCTCAAGCTGCCCCAGGGCTTACCACCAAGTACTTTTTGGGGCTGCTCAGGGTAGCTGAGGGATATGTCTGCCCCAGGCATGTCTCCTCCCCATACTCGCCACACATGTGGCCTCACAGAAACAGCCCAAACTTACTGGGACCACATCACTGCTTCCAACCTGCCTCAGCCACAGTCCACGGCCAAAACCAAAGGTGCCTCATACCACCTTCTTTCAACAGCACTAAGGTTACTAGTTTAGTCTTTTGGGGACTGGTGAAACACCGCGCTAACTTCTCAGAGAAACAGCCACGGACATACACTTATGATAAAGCTGACCCCTGCAGAATTGTGCAGGGGTGATTGTCAAAACCAGGAAATCCCTCGCTGAACTTCTCACCCTGGGCGTAGCGTCAGTGATGCACCGCTGTCGGCTGCTCCTGAGAGCAGCTCAGTGATGCTGACAGGCACGCTTGCCCTGCTCCCTACACCCTTTTCTTCGTTTTTTTTTTTTAATAGGCTGATTTTGACTTTGAATCTCTTTTCCTTTGCTGGGGAAACAACCATCCTGTGTTTCTACATGGGAGCAGTCCACAGCATGCAGAGCAGGACTCCAACTCCTGCACCCAAATCTACAGAAAGCGGCATTAACATCCTGACAGTGAGCTCCCATCTTGGGAGGAAGGGGGATTTTTAAAGCAATTAATTTCCTAGCTGTTAATGACCTCACAGAGCACTTAAAGGAGGAAAACACGGCCACTTTACCTGGTAATCAAACAGGAATCAACGCCTCCCTAACTTTAATCCTAACCTTGGTTGTTTGTTAATCTGTCCAGCTGTATGGAGGCGACTGGTAACATTTTTTCACTACATCTTTTGTGCCCTTCCTTCACTCCCATGCTCTAGATTTAGGCTCTGATCTTGTAGCCAGTACTGTCCAGACGCATCCTTGGGCATGAGGCAGAGCTTTCCGGAAGCCAGCAGGACACTGGAAACAAGGAGGACACAGGACTGGGGTCGTAGTTTAGAGGCAAGCTAGCTAGAGAGCCTCATTTCTACACCTGTGGTAGATACATGAAGACAGGGTTAATGATACTAAATTATAAACGGGACCACAGCTTACCTGGAGTGGTAGGACTGATGCCAAGGGGTGCCAAGCGTACCCTGAGATATTTGCATCATGCTGGGATCGGGTTGGTTCTCCGCAAGTTTGGTTGAATGCCAGGAGTGAGGTCGGCCTGGAGTTTCGCTCCGCCTAGGTAAAAGCAGAAGAATTTTGCACATCAGCAAGAGGCCGGCTCTTCCAAGGAAGCCGAATGTGAACTAACACCAACAGCCACAATTAAAATTGCTCGTGCTCCCTTCTGTTTCACTGCTATGTTCTCGTCTCTTCCGAGCGAATCAAGCAGTAATCACGCACCGTTTCTGACATTCACATAACATGCTCCCCCTCATATTTGCAAGGCAACAGGCGTGGGCAGACAAAGGGGTTATCACCGAATGCGGAGGGTCTTCCCCTCTACCCCCCAGCCAGAAGCCTTACCCCTCGGGGACCAGCCTGGGGCTCAGTTTACAGGGTGGGCTGCGTGTGGACTCCCACACCACGCACCAAGCAGGGCGGCTGCATGTGATCCTTACGGATGCTGAAGGAGGGCTTTTCTCAAAAGCTTCCCTTCGTTATAAAGTGACGGTTGGTAAAGTCATCTAAAGAATCACATACCACGAGAGGGTGGAAGACCGCACAATGCTCTTTTGATCTCTTCTCAGTGCCGGTAAAAATGCAGGAAGAGACGTGACAACCAAGCGCCAGCAATGCGTGTCCCTCGCATCCCCCAGGGCCTTGCAGCCTGCCAGCTGTCCCCCTGCAGCGTGCGGGCCTGGGGGCGTCCCCAGCCACGGCACGGCTGGCCTTCGGTTGCTTCAGTCACCAACGCTAAGGAAGGCCTCCATCAGCTCTTAGGAGAAAAACACCACCGACATCCTTATTTAAAGCACATAATGGTGCAGTGGAAAGTCAAAGCAGGGGATTAGAGATCAAGTACCCTGAACATGCCGCACAGACTCTCCTTCGCCCCAGCTTTCGGGCTTGTCCTTAATCCTCCCTCTGCTTTCCATGGGGGATCTCTCCCCCTGTGCTAGCACTCAGGTCCGCGGTTTCTAACTCTTCCTGTGAGAAAGAGGAGCAGCACTGGACCTGTGTACCACTGAAGGCGCAAATGTGACAGCCTGCAGGACCACCTTGACTACCTATAGAGCATACATGCAAGAGGAGGATATGACGCATCTTTAAAGCGTTTGCCCCACTGAGAATTTCACAGTACAGCATGTCCTGAATAAGTCAGTAAATAGATTAAAACGCACTCGACAGATGTAAACCAGACACCGAGAAAGGACTTTCCTAGTACTGCCTACGATTGTGAAAAGAAACAATACAGGAAAACGTACAAAGTAAAAAATGATTGTTAGGGTCAGACCCGTTACTCGCTAGCACAAGTTAACACTGGCACCAGCTGATGTTGTATGACGTGGAAAAGCATTGGCGGAAAGTAAAAGGGAGAACCATTTCGCCATTAGGTTTTCCATACAGATTTCAGAAGCACAGGTCATTCTCTCATCATCAGCTAAAGGAAGAAAGAAAAAGCGACATTCTTTTCCTTTTAACATTGTGACAGGATTGTCTTAAGGAAAGCTGAAGTGGAGGTCTACAGAGGGCGAGCTGAACCAAGCACTGTTTTACCATCACATGTGTAGGTGTGTTTAAAACAGAGCTCTTTTGTTAAGCTCCTTGCCCAGAGAAACAAGGAAGCTGAACAGTGCCGGATGGGAAGCTGACAAAACTGTTTATTAAGAATAACCCGCATTCTTGCCTTGTCCATTGCAGAGATTTAAAGACTCTCTCTTTGTACTTTCGAGTAGCGCAAGCCCCCAGCATAATTTTTTTGCTTGGGAAAGCACGCTGAGTGATCACAAGCAAAGCACGTTATCCCTTGATTTGATGAGTAAAAAGCTGCAAGGGAGCCACAGGTATTTTAAACCCTTTCGGTCCATATCCTTGTAATAATACAACACGTGGACAGCAAAGCTGTGAATTTAAGTCAGAAGACATGCCGTACCAGCTCAGTGCAGGATAACCTTGCATTGTTTCCACACCTACCTGAGCCTGGAAATGTGGATTAAGGGTAACCGAATCTTAGCCAAGCTTAAGCCAAGAGAGGAAGCGCTGCGGTACACATGATCTCCAGCTCATCTTGCAGACTCCGGCAGGGGATCTCCGAGGAGGTGGCAGGATGGAAGTATGGAGGGTCTCTGGGCGTACGCACGCACCGCAAGGCAGAGAACGGGGCGCCTGATCCAGTCCCCACTGAATCAAGCAAAAGACTCTCCTTGAGAGAGAGCTCGGAGGTTGCCAAAGAAAGGCACAGCCGATGCTGCCAGTGCCTGTGTGTGGGCGTTCAGGGAACGCCAAGAATTTCCTAGCTTCAGCCTTCTGTAACACCTGAAAACAGCACCTTGCTTCACCTTACTTCCTTAAGCTTACTTTATAATTATTATTGCCTCATCAGGGAAAAGGACTGGAACTGGAGTGCAATACGACAGCGAGCACCACAGTGTCTACAGGAGAACAGCAATCTCCTGTTAAAGATGGAGGGGGAGATGAACATGGTTAACCTGCCAATTTTGCAACACCTTTTGGTTACACTCGCTTTACTGCGGAGTACAACTTCCAGGAAGCAATAAAAACCAGTGCAAGATTAAACTCCTTTTGGCAATTGGGGCAGAACTGTTTTTGTAAAGCCCACAACGTCTGATCCTGATTCATCCCCGACAAACTGGCTGAGCGATAAAACTTGCAAATGCAGCAGCTAATTCCTGACTTGAGTGAAGACAAATAAATCATTAGATCTCTAACTGGTACAAATTGGGTGTAGCTCAGTTGCCTTGAACAAAACCAGGAGCAACAGCTGACACTTTGTTCCAGGAGGCTGTAGGATTTCAAACTGCAGAACTGTAATAATAATAATAACAAAACCAACAACAAAACCAGAACGACCTCATCCCCTTATCCTTTATACTAGTTTCTCAAGGGCTGCACCCGCACCATACCTGTGAAACCGTCTGCACAATATTATTACTAAAAAATTCTCCACTTCAGATAATGGAGAAAGTGATCCCTCTGTTGCAAATGCCAAGGCTGGAAAAGAGACTCCGGGTTCCTCACAGACACCTCCAGTGATCAGATAACTTGGGCATCCAGGTCAGGCTGGCATCACGACAAATGCCTCGGAGCGAAGATACCCGAAGAAGTCGGTGGACCTTGATGCAATGCTGGCATCTAAATAGGCTCCCCAGCAGCTGTAACACTGATTACGTACCAGATACTGCCAAATTCACACCGTAAACTGCAAAACCAAAGGGAAAAGAATAGTCTTTAATCTTGTCCAGCTGCTGTTATCTGGGTGCTCCTTGTTGCTATACTGGTCACAGCATTTTCAGACAGAAATGTGACCGGCACATTAGCAGTCTCCTCTAACGCTGTCTGGCAAAGGCTTGATGCAGTCTGGGCTGCGAGGACGGACCATACTGACATTTCTGAGGCTCTTTACCATTAATAGCTCTGTAGCTCTCTCTTATTAGGAAGAGCTGAGCATGTTCTTCTCTGTAATCTCTGTAGATTGTTTTTATGCTTTTTATGCAAAACAGTAATGGAACTTTATAAAGATCTCTTGGCACTAACTCTACAAAAGAATCAGCATCTATAGAACCGCCTTCTGAAATTTTCTTTGCAGCATAACTGAAAGGCTGATTTCTCTTTTTCCCAAGGTTACAAACTAACCCCCCCACCCCGAGCAATGTATTCAGTCTAATTTCCGTTCTTTACATCCTGTTCCTTACTGATGCCAGAGCACAAGCACAACCTGCAATTCAAATGTACTCCAGCTCAGCGTCCTCCAAAAGCGCACAGATACTTCTGTGTAAAAAGGCCCATCTTTAACCAAAGCAAACAACTTAACCTCTTCAAATTGCCACTTTCATTTTTTTCTACATTTGCTTAGAAAAGTTTCCCTTTTCCTAAACCTCCAAGTGGAGCAGCTTTGGAAGAAAAGAAGATGCTCAAATAAACCCTGCAGACTCCTTCACTCCAGGTTTCTGACAGCAGCCTCCTGGGTGCCAGCGGCACGCTTTGGCTGAGGTCAAGGAGCACAGCAATACTGACCGCTGCTGTCGCAACAAGAACTGCAGGGGTACTCTTATGCCCAATTTATGGGACCTTGGGAGGAGAAGCAGGAAGGAAACAGTTCCTTCCCTCCACCTGCCACATCCTGGTCTTTCACGGAGCAGGATCCTGGGGCACATCACGGGAGGTACTTGCTGTGCAGATAAGACATAGCGGGAGAATATCAAAGCAAGCTGCTGAAGCTCGAAGAGAAGGATTTCACAAGGAAAGCACGTTCTCTTAGGAAACACAGACAATTTTACCCTTGCAGACAATAACAGTATGTAACTCAGCCTTTTAGAAACCTATGGAGTGAAAGCCAGGGAGGAGATGTGGTGGCTGACCAATTAGCCACTCGGAGTCATCAATGCCCCAATAAACGGATCTATTCCTACTGCAACACGCCCACAGAGCTTGCAGGGAGTTTTCATCAGTCTCATGGATGGCAAACACATCATCCAAGATGGTTGAATGGAGACCATTTGTGAACAATTCTACCACTGACCTTGTGCTCATTTTTTTTCTGTCCTAGCACGCTTCAAAAACCTCCTCAGCAGAGACAGGGAACGCTGAAGATAAAGACAGTAAAACCTTTTAAAAAAAGCATCTCTCCCCAAGGAGCAGAATCCATCTGCTGATCCAGGCAGGAGCAGTAGTCACTGGGACACGTTCTCCATGACCTGCAGGGATGGTTTTGACCAGCTGCTGGTGTTCATGTGCCCAAGAAAGATGGGAAGAAATCGAGAAGAGACCTAAGGCCAAGAGAGTCACTCTGTGCCTTCACAGACAATCGCAGTCCCTGTGGATGTGCTTTCCGCCAACAGTCGTGTGGCCCAGGCGGTTGTGTGGGAGGTTGTTGGAGCTGGAAGGGATAGCCATGGCCTGGCCTGTTCATCTGGGGAGGTGGAAAGGGACAGGAGCCCTGCAGCGGAGACCCTCCTCCCGTAGAAAAGAAGATTTGGACGCAAGTGCAAAGCTTGTGCCTCTCAGATCCAATCCCAGGCACTGAGTCTCGAGAGAGGAAGCCAAGAAGGTAGCTG